TAAAACTATAATGATCATTTCATCTCTTTGAAAATGTTATTTAATTAGCCTTGTCAGAGTTATTTATATACTTCTGGAAACCTCTTTTACTTTTTCGAAATGAGATGTTTTAACTAAACGCATGAGTTGGCCTTTATTTGCAACCTGTTTGGATATATAAAACTATGCTGTTTCAGTGACTCATAATTATGTGACCTTTCAAAGTCATATAAGTGGGACTTTATTCTGTGATCACACTGAATGTGAATACATCACCATACAGTTCAGTTGAAAATTTACAATAAATCAGAACAGTAGATACAGCGCCCTACATTTTTTGGTTTGATTCACCTATGGAGACAAATGTAAATAGGAAAGGAATATTATCGTTTAGTGTTATTTTACTCCTGGCAAATATTATTCCCAATGAAACAATATACTACTTGTGTGATTGCATTAAAAACAACAACCTCAATTACTGTGTGTAGAAACACTATCTAAAATAACTGCTCTACCAAAAGACTAATATGTAAAAAGCTAACTTGTATCATGAGAATTTTTATAGCTCGGTCTCATTAGGCAGGGAAATAAGCTTATTCTATGTTTCATCCTTGAGAGTATGAAATGTATGCGCTGTTGATATATATAGTGACAATTTATTTAAACGCCATTAAAGCTTCTAAAATACCGAGAAATGTATGCTAAAATATATGCATCCCAACTAACTTAAACGTAATTTACACAGTAAAATCGCAACAATTTATCACTTATAAAGCTTAAATGCAATGGCGAGTAGGTACTATTTCCTTTATTGCAGAATTCTGTCAAACAATATCTCGAATATGTTCATGATAAAGTTAAACAATAAGAAAAATCAGTTTTATTTCCCCATAACTATTTGTCAGAACATAAGGGCTCAAACTGTTAAACAGTCGATTATGAACCACTTGATCAATATGTGAACATAACACTTATCGTCAAACATTTTAAATAATGTATTGTATTGAAAAGAAAATGAAACCAACTGGAGAAGCACTGAAAGTTAAAGAATGACGTACGTTTATCTCCGTTTAAAATAAAACTTTCTCAGTAGATAATCACATGCATCACATAGTAAATCAATTTTTATTTATAACACCAATTGATAATCATATGATGCTTTGACCTGATTGAAGTTTTTAAATGACTTTCAATATCATTAGTTCTCGTGCTCTATAACTGTTTCTAAAGATTCATTTAAAAGCTTTGAATACTCACACATTATACTATGCAACTGTGCTAAGACTATATACTCATTATTAGTTAATGATACAAATTATCGTTATTTTGGTTAAATTCTGATAAACCTATCTATTTACTTATTTCAGATTAGATCATTTAAAATAAAATATTATCTCAATTTTACTTCACTTTTAAAGTTAATTATATTTATTTTTGGAAGTAACTAAGTATTTCACTTGGTATTGTTTTGCTTGAATCTTCCCATTGAGATTTAAGACTGCACTTGATCAGTTTGTTATTGGCATATGTGCATACTGTTCGCTTTGCCTCGATATTGTCTTAATTCACAAGCTTTTATAAGCAAAGATTAAGAATGGCTAGCAGTGGAATCCAGTATTGACTCTGAGACTCCACCGCAAGACACTATCCATTTTTGCTTATAATTAAGTATTTATTAAAATGTTCCCACTAAAGCAAATGATATATTTTTTAAATTTTTGCACGTATATTTTAATTAATACCAAATCTTTTGAGACTGTTTTATTGTATTGGTTCGTTGTGATTCTCAAAGTGTATAACAAACAAAATTAGTGTGAAATTACATAACCAATTTTCGCTTAACTTTCTTATTCGTATTTTCTTAAGTAAATTTAAGATAAACATTTTTGAATTTAACGAAACTATTTAGTTTTAAATATTAGCGCTTCTTTTTTTGTTAAATATTTCTAATGAGTAAAATATAATAAGCTTAGATGAATTCTTAACTCCATTGTTGAAAAGAAATGAACTAACTATTTGATTGTGTGTAATGTGTAATACACATTTCAAGCTGAAATCATCACAGTTTTGTAACATCAACAACGTTATATCTCATTTTTCTTTCATCTAACATAATATTGATATTTTCTCTTCAAAACTTCAACACGTAGCTATAAATGAATGGGAAACAAGTAAGCTTAGATTTGAAATATTCATACTTTTTCACTAGTAGTTGTGTATTTTCTTACTGTACATTTTCTTTTTGAAGTTATAATTACACAATAATTATGCACAGATTGAATAAAGCACTTGTTTTTTAACTAGTCATCTTTTTAGATTTTTTTTCCTTATTAAATAACAATACACCTAATATTGTACAAACACCTATTTGTATGTTAGCGATCTCTTTCTTCTTTTATTTGTTAAATTATGTTTGATTTTCCTAGATATGCACAAACATTTGCAGTTATATATACACGCACACACACTGAGTTAATCTTTGCAGTTATAACTATATTTTTTTGCCGATAATATTTATTAATTTGCATGTTTAACTTTACTCAGAAGAATCACTTATTCTTAATGTGTGTTTCTGTTGTCATTACCCGTGTTTTGTTGTGTTATCGCATGTGTTGTGAATTAACTATGGAAAATTAGTTTTACTTACTCAATAGTAATCTTCATCTGTTATTGTTTTCTTTTTGCACTATCAACATTATTTTTGTAATTTGTACACGCACATATAGATACATTTTAGTGAAAAAGGAAGTCATATTTGTATTTATTTCCTTTACTGATATACTTATAAATGATCATATACATATGTATTAGATTTGAATCCCATCTTCTATGATACTTTTAAAATATTACAATATTAATTGGTGCATGTAATTGCGTTATTTTCATTGACAATTAGGTTATAATTCAAAGTGTTTTCTTCTCTTCACTTATCATTACATGTGAAAAACTGAATATTTATAAAGAACATTTTATTTGTTTGACAACTATCTTAACATATAACTATAGATTTATTCTACTTATACATCGAATTTCTAAAGCATATATCATTGGGTTTGTTACATTTTCTAGAAAATTGTTTGTTTAAAAACAACGTTACATTTTACAATTTTTGTTTGAACTAGTTTAGCTGACTGATGTTGTTATTTAAAGCTTCAAGTTGTATGAAAATATGTTGGTTCATTGTTATTTTAATTGCCATGTTTTTTTTTCTAGAATTTTATCCTGATATAATCCTTTTTTATCTACACGTTACAAAAATGAAACAAATCACAATTATCTGTTAGTAGTCTATTACCAGTTAAACATAGGATGGATGAAGTGACTCAAATATGTGTTCTCTATGTACCATATAAATTGCATGGCGTTGCCTCGATAATTTAAGTAAATTGTAATCGCTTACGTAGTACATTTCCAGATATCTTAACACTTAAGATAACCACAAAGTTTACTTATTGATTCAATGCAAAGAGAAGTAACTACATTAAGCATCAATAAAATGCTATGAAGTTGTCATAAGACGTATTGTGTTATCTTTCTATCCTTAAGTGAATATAGTTTACTTACTTGCACCCGTTGCCTCTCGTGGGGGAGCATACACCGCCGTCGGATATAGGTCTTAGAAATTCTAAATCCTAATGAATTATCAAGTAATAATCTGTTTATATTTGCACAGGTCTTAATTGTTAACCTATTTCTACCAGAGATTTATGAAATAAGTCTGATGAGATTCTTCACTACTCAATGGACCATATCAGATAATATAGTAACTAAGTAAATAACTGATGGAGTCTAGGTATTCAAGAATTACAATGGGTAAAATTAAACTTTATCCTACAGTAAATGACTAAAAATATTATACTAACTCTACTTCAGCTTGAGTGAATAGAGGCATGAAGATATTCTTATGAATAATATATATATATATATATATATATACTATTTATTTGGTGTGCTATAATACGATCTCTGATGTACACCGCTTGTTATTGTGCTGTTATAAACTATTTACAACTTGTTCTTTTTATTGGCACTGTAATAACGCTTGCCAGTAATGTTTCTTATTCTTCTCTTTGATGTTTATTTTATGTAACAAAAAATCGTCACATTTTTATTTCATTCTAAGCCTTCATTTTAACTATGGTAATGCATATTATCTGCACACATTTAACAGCTTCATTATCGATGTGTGATAATATTGATGCGTATTACAGATATAATTGATGTGTCTACCAGTGATTGCGCTTTGTCCATAAATCATAAGTTATTTTGCCAATTTTCAATGTCAGTTTAGTGTAACCACTTGCCAGTAGTCAGAGTTTTATGTTCTTTAAGATACAGCAACTCGAATCATGAAATAACCTTGTCCTTTTAGACTATATCACTATTCTACTCTTAATAATTCGCTAAGGGCACTGATTATGTAACATTCTAGCTTATGAACAATATTTGTTTATTTTACTTGTTGTTCGGAACAATCTTTAAGCAAACCTGTTACTCTATTGTAGTCAGAGAAACTTTTCTAATTTTTTCTACTGAGAAAGTCTTTCCGTATTAAAGAATCTTTTGGATCTGTCAACCGTAAACATATTATTCTATATTGCAGTAAAGCACTTTTAAAATAAATACTTCGTTATTTAGTAATACACAATTTTCTGAATCACACATTTTTGTCCATATTCTTTTCTTGTTAAAGAATGCTTATTTTCCATGTATTGACATGCATATATGTAACTTAACATACAAGTTTATTTATGTTAGTAGTTTGACAGAATTTAATTTAAAATATAATAAATCTGTTTCTGTTTTTGTATAAAAAACAAAAATACCAAGATATTTCCTATTCACTTTGTTTCCTCTAGGTACTACTTACATTATCCTATTACGACAGTATTTCAAACATCTACTAAACTTTAGATAACAATCAAACCCCTACATATTAAGGATTTTATTAAAAAAAATTAATTTGTCCTTTTTCAAATTAACACCAATAATCTGAAATTTTTCTTTTCCCCTTATTCCAGTTCCAAGTCACTTATTTGCACGCATTACTCAACGGTCAGATAGTTTAGTAAGTCGTACTAGTTCGACGAAAAAGCGTAATTCACAAACGCCTAGTGCTAAAGATGTAAATTTCAATCCACGTAAATCACTTGGTTTCGTAGAAACTGGCCAACCGCGATTAGGTCAACCAACAAGAATTAAGATTACAATTACAGAGAGTACAGAATTCAAGGTTAGTTAAACGTCTTTTTCAATATCAATATTTTTGTGATTACTGTAATTGCAATCCGATTTTACGGGACAATCAATAAAACCCTTATATCTTACACCTTTTTATAATAAATTTGCCTTTATAAAGTTGAAGGTAAATGTTATCGATCCAGTAAAAATTCATTTATTTGCCTACGTTTTTGCTTAAACTCTTTGCAATTAATTTTTAGCAAGAAGTAAGCAACTTCTGTTTCACTTATTAATTAAACGTTTCAATAGAATAACATATCTTGCTCATTTGTAAGAGTTGTTTGAATCTTCAACTCCTCAATGTTGAGTACTGGGATTGATCATTCTCTTTTAGCATATGTGCATCCTTTGTGGATTGCCTGTAAATCACCATCAAGCTTCGAGCATTTGGAGTAGATTACAACATTGGCTAGCGTGGAAATACACATTTCATACTTCGGTGTATTCAGGACTCGCCAGGTGGATAAACCTGTACCTCAGTTTTAATATTCATACCAGGACTCGAACACAGTAACCTCTGCTTCAACTCTATTTATAATATTTGTGGATTAACGATAACATCGAGACAAGGAGGGCAGGATCACATATGCTAAAGGAAACTAATCATTCCTTAACACTAACAACTTCAAGATTAGGACAACTTTTATAAGCGAATTAAAATTTACCCAATGTCACAAGCCCTTGACTACCTGGGCTATGAAAATAAAATGTTTAACATTTGAGTCGAAGAATACTACATTCACGTCTTCGTGTGAATATCATCAAGTGTCCGTATTTCCACTCCTAACCGGTATGGTACTAAGCTTAATCTGATAAATATTTCATTGCAACTGGAAATGTTTTTCATAATGAATAGTATACACTAACACTTGTAAAGTTCAGCAATGCCATGATGCTTGGAAAGTTAACGTAATATCATGTCGGTTTCATGATTCTTCGGTAACTTGAAAAGAACAACTTCACAAACCATTATTTGATATACTTTAGTCAAGTGCAGATTTATCTTACTAAAGTTTTAACTTCAACTAGAAATAAATGACTTATAGCCGATGGTATATTTGTTAAGTGGAAGATGTAAATCTTGCACTAATGAAGTTTTTCCTATTTTCTCAATGAAATATTACGAGATAATCAACATTTCAGACACTTGGTATTAACTTACTAGATCACCATTTTCAGAGAAATATCATTTACGAAATTAAAATCAAAATTTATGCCTTGACTTTTAGTAAAAAGCTGATATTTATTGACAATATTTCCCGTTGTCAAGTTATTTCAAAAATAATTTAACTTCAATTACAACTGAATATTTCATGAATGAAAACTGGATGCTGAGTGTTGAAAGCAAGAATAAATAACTGTAAAAATCCTTTGATTAGATTAGACAACTTTTCCTAATCTATATTAGTTAGTCAACTCTTTCATTAACTAGTTAAATATATTGAGTATAATATAAAAATTTATCTGATATATGTAATTGTTTTTGAAAATGTAATGTAATTGGTCTACAGTTTCTTTTCTCATGACAGTAATAAATGACTACTTAAAACAATTACTTAACGTTCCGTACTATTTCAAAGGAATGAAATCACATATATTTATTAGTAGTCGGTTATTTTTTAAAGGTTGAGATCATGGATCAATTGAAGCTAGACTACCATGGAAAACCTGGAAGCACTGGACGGCCGTTTCGTCCTATTGCAGGACTCTTCAGCAGTGTATAGTTAGCCAGTTAGTTAACAGAATATGTAGTGGGAGAGTAAATAAATTTTTGTCCTAGTCAATATGACCTTATTAACACCAGTATTCCATTAGTCTGATATTTGAATGTAAAATAATTTAGATTAAATTATTTCTAAAAGAAAAACTCAAACCTCTATCTTAAATGTTTCACAACTATCGCTTAAATATATTCGCATATCATTATTCATTTTACTACATATACACAAGCTTTTTAAAGAAAATTGTTAAATTACAGAACAAAAGTGTTTAAAATCTTTCCTTTCAGATTTTTGAATAAGTAATAAACTTTTTCAGTCAATATACAATTTTTTTGTCAGACAACTATTATTCAAACATAAAACGGTAGTATTAATTACAAACGTTTGTACTAGTTACTGATGAAAAAGTATTATTATTTATACTTTTGGAACTATATTTCACAATTAATCAAAGATCTTTTCGCTCCGTCATTATGCAACTAATTCAATTACGTATAGAGCAAATGATCTTAAGAACAATAAATGGGTTCTTTAGAAACCAATAGGGAATTTAAGGAGACTTTTTTAAAATATAAAACAAATCGATGTTGTATAATTGAATTTTCTTCATACCATCATTGCTAAATCAACAATTCCAACTTCCCATCGTTATCTACTTAAATACCAAGTTAAGATTTATGCTGTCTGAAAGACAGATGCTACTTTCCTTTTGTAACTTACACTTCTAAAGCCAAACTGATCAAGCGTTATCTGCGATTAATGTTTTTCGTAGCATGTGGTCGGTTACTGGTTGTTTGAAGTAGTTGTCAGTATTGAGACCCTGAATGGCAATTTAATTATACTTGTAATTTATTTAATTGTACACTCTGAATTACAGCGATAAACAGTGCTTGACATAGGCGTAGTAAGTTCCCACGCAATAGTAAAATGTTCATTCTTGTGGTGTACAAGTCATCCGGTAATGAATATGGATTGATGAAATGATTTGAATTTTCAACTTGTAACAACTTAGGAAAGTAGTATTTTCATAATAATTCTAAGCAAACCAATCAACTAGGTGTAACAAAAATGAAGTTTTCAATAATTACTCCTATATTCTTGAAACTGAACACTATATTTATTTATTAAAATATATTACAGAATTCTTTCGCAAGTATAAATTCTTTTATTCAGATTAAATTGTGGAACAACAGTCATATCCCGTTCCTGATGGGATAACAACATAATAAATAAATTTAGTGATTAATATTCTGTAAATTTACCATATTAACTTTAGCAAACATTTCACTTTATTATTTAGACAACTTCGTTTCAAAAATAAAACAAATTATTTCCATCAATTTCAAATACTTTCTGTGTCAAGTTTCAGTACGCTGTAACTGCATGATTGTACATTGATCTACTTACATTAAGCAATAAGAATAAAATAAGACGTATAGACGTCTAATAAAAAATCATTCCCCTTTTGCATTATACATCTGATTTCCCGATCATATTTGTTCATGTATTAGTTCATATCAACTACAATTATGTAATCTGTTGAAAATATTTTATATAGCACTGGATGACTGTTGAGTATTTCCAGGTTTTCAATGATGGTCTAACATCCAACGTTTCATAATCTTAATCAAAATACTTAACAATCTTCACAATCCTATAATGTAATATCATCCATTGGTACTTATTTAACCATGAAATAAGATCTTCCGGATTATATTCTGTGATTCATTATCGAATTTAAAATGTTACCATATAGAGTAGTATAAAGTTTTCTAAGAGTTTAATGCTTTGATTTGTCAAACTCATATTCTAGTTTAAATATGACAACATTATGAAATGGAGAATTGTTCCAATATAATGCTAGATAAATTCATTGCGAAATAAAAATATCAGTGTACGTAAATCAACATCGAATTATGTTATCATAATCACAGAATTCATATTAACTTCTTTTCACTATTTGACAATTCCATGAATTTACAAGAAGTTTTTATATTGTATATTACAAAAATAACTGATTTTCATAATCATTTGCTATGCATAACAAAAATGTCCCATTTCGATGTATCGTTATGAACAATAAGTTAAGTAATGTTAACATTTATTATCCATTCCATAGTGTTTAATATTTAGGGTTAATATAATAAAATAAATAATAGACATCTTAACTAAAAAAACGAAAAGATGTAGGTTAAATAAACAAATTCTTCTATTTTGCCTGATTCTTGTTATTTACGAATTTTATTCTTTTTTTTGTTGAAAAGTTGTCATCTACATTAAGACTGATGTGCTTATCGTTTATTACTTATTTAGTAGTTGTACAAATATTATGATCTAATACTGTATGTGAAAAATATCGATTATAAGATCGTACTAGTACAACTATGGCCTAAATTTGTTCTGAGAATATCTTCATATTATGTACTATATAAACGCGATCCTAAATATCTTCCAGTTACTTGTTCATATCAAGCTTAAACTTAATATTTCGTGTTATTAGTTTGTTTTTCTTATTTACAAAATTGATATATGAGTAAAACCGGTAGATAATTAGTACAAGATTTGTTTCGTCCACTCACAATTTACCTCAAATTATTTATTTCATTTTTGTTCGTCTTAGTACCAACATTATATCAAATAGATAAGTAAATAAAAGAGAGAAAAAAAGGAAGACCAAAGAAAACATTAGTTTGTTTGCTTTTCTTCTTGCTCTTTCTAATATTTATTTCTGACGGAGGAGGATACTGCCTAAGAATTTGCTGCGTTTTATTTAATGTCTGTTTCAAAAAAATGATGAGAACACTGTACTATAATTAATCAAAATGTTATTTGTAAATTTATTCCGTTTCTTTTTTATTTCTTGATCACGGAGTCACTTTTTTTGCAGGTGGTATTATTTACACAATCAACATGGTCATAATTTCACTTAGCTGTTATATCATTATTTTAAATGACTAGTAATATAATGACATCGATAGATAACATTTTATATTTCATCGTCAGTGTTTGGAATATATGAATAAATCAGCAAAATTAATTTATAATTAAATGCATAGTTCATATTTCACCAGAATCTAGCTAACTCCGAAGTCAGAGCTAAATATCCAATTATTTCGATCTTAATGGCGGTGTCATATAAAGTTAGTCTCAGTCAACGTTACTATTGATCTACTGGTTTATTTACAGTCATGTTAATCTCACTGGTTAAAATATTACACCAGCACTTTGAGAAACCTACCACACTGTTAATATTTAATGATCTTATGATGAATTTCATCTTAGTGATATGTTAGTTTAACCGAAAATGGTAAAACTTAAAATAACTGTCTTGATTTATTCTGAAACACTTAGACGTGTACTTTTAAGAAACTTCGAGCACAAAAAAAACAAGTGTTAACGACCTTATCGACGTTCACTTAGCTAGTGTTGTAAGTAAATTTTAAGTTTTTAGTTCATCTGTTTAAGGCAACAACGCCTGAAACATGATGGTTGCCTACCAATGAAATGATGACTTATCATATGAATAAAAATAAATAATAGTCATCGATATGAAGTTCACATTACTTCTCTTTTTAAAAAAAACTAATTTACCAATGGAACAAACAAAATAAGTAAATTTCTTGTATCAGTTCATAAAAAAGGTTCTGATTACATGATTTTCTTCTTATTTATTCTATACTTAAAGTAGACAGTATTTTTTTCCATACTTAAATTCATAAATTATGCTTATTCAGTAGTATGATTATCATCATCTTAGATTTCATTTAGAAAAATAGACAGCTACAACAATTTAAGCTTGTTATGTTTTCTATAAAGTACTTTTTATTGTACAACTTATAAATTTATTTCTTTTTTTAAAATTGAAATCAGAAACATCAGATGAAACTGATAATTGAATAAAGCAGTAATGAAGTATATTCCTTTTACAGATATTTACTACTGCCTAGTATTAATCCCATGTACTTTATTTCTATCCTTTAAAATACATAATGATTTTATTCAATAAAATTAACAACTGCTAATAATAAGTTAAAGATAACAGAAAAAAATAATTGACTAAGCTTGAAATTATACAACCATTATGTATTTTAGTGTTTTCGACTAAATATCAATAAGCTATCAGACTGTTGTTTATGAACACAGATTTTGATAATTATGTAGAATGCTCAAACTATGCTTAACCTACTTTCAGTAAACATCTTGATAATATCAATTGTCCTTATGTTCACATTTTATCTTCAATGTGCATACATAAATCTGTAATCAGGAAATGAACTGCGTTAATCATGACACTGAATTTATTACTCACCTTTACAAAACTGAGTTATATCTCAATCGCGCTTTTTTAAGAATACTAAATATTTTACTTAAATAGTTAACCGAATAGATATTACTTTAGTTTTGAAAATTATCCTGAGATACATTTGACAGATATACATCTTTCGTTATTATTAAACATCTTTATGTTTAACATTTTAGACATTCATAAAGCAACATATGACTTAGTATTTGAGTTATTTGCAAAATAAGATACTGGTTAGCTTATCTGACAAGTAACGTTTTTCAACCTAAAATACGAAATCAGTAGTATTATGAGTGTTATTCAGATGAACTTTCCATAAAAGAATATCAACTCGGTTAACTCCACATACGTTTCCACATACCCCCAATAATTTTTATTAACATTAATTAAAAGGGTATTACTGTTTTCATACAAGCTATAGTCATGAATCGGTTTTTCTTTCTTTTTCAGAAAACCGTTGACAGGTTAGTGAAACAAGGGACACTGGCCTTAGTGGTTGGTACATCATCTTGGAAAGAACAGTTCGTTGAGGCGATAACTGTCAGTGCTGGTACGTTTTTTTATATTCCGTTTGCTTTTCAAATATTTTCATTTTGAATATCTATTTTGGAAATACCTTTAATAAAAAATGATAACAACTATCGAATCGGCAACTGATAAATAACTATTGAATTTCATGAGTCATATGTCTTAAAATGAATGTTAAAAAATTTTATAGTTCGACCAAAAAAGGAGGCGTAATGAAAGGATGCCACAAAACCACGCTAAATACTGTTTCTGCCTAATCATAAATTATAAGAGTTCGAAAATTATTAGTTTAGGTTCCTAACCGAGATTTTGAATAGTGTCAGATTACATCCACTAGCAAGCTGTTTTCTCTGTGATCCTTTATGATAATAAATTTGTTCAGTGCCAAACGTCACTGACTATAAATTAAAAGCTTGTTGGAATGAACAATACTAAAAAGCTATGTTTCGTTGTATTCCATAAGTAGAAATGTTATTGTTAACATAATCCTTTATTCAACTCGATTTTTTTTATTTCACTTATCCTTAGTTTTACTATAATATACGTTAATATCTTTCTAATAAACAACTTTTAGTACAATAATAAGTAACTTTGAAACTAGGTTATGCTTGAAATAAACTTAAGCTTCAAAGTTTTTGACGATATTTTTACTCGATTTGAATACAATCAGAAGAAATTCAGTAATCTCAGCGAATGTAGAAATATATCATGTAGACACCAATCATTACATATAGTCATTCTTGTCATTTTTCTCCCTCAGAACAACCATCGACCAGGTGAGATCAAAATGACTCAATAGATTCACTAATCAAGAGTTATTCAAACAAGCTGTACTTAAGCTTCATTCAGTCTCACAAGACAATTTTAGGTAACTTTGAAAGCATATCACTTCTTACTGACATATAAAAGCTCTTTTGTGGAGTATACATAACAAAGCATAATGAAATTGTATTTAGCCGCATTTAACTACATTGTTGGATTGTTCAACAGCTATATCGGTAATAATATTGACAGTTCAATCACAGAAGTAAAATGAATTTAGTTAAACTGTCGTACCGCATTTCCTGTAAAGAACAACTGAGAATAGTAGTTGTAAGCTTATATCTTATTCTGGTCAGTTCTGAAAAACCGATCCACTGCGTTCATAAACTTCCGTGCATCAGCTTTTTGAAATTTGAATTGTTTCATGTCGAAGCTCTACCACATAATATAATAATGTTTCTCATATGAAGCGTTTGCGATAATAGCAACTTATGTAGGCTTAACACTGACGTATCTAAGTTTACTAGTAAAAAACGTTTATTTCTAAACAGTTAGATTCCAGCTAAATTTTCAGACTGCACACAACATTTGTAACTCATAAATTATAAACAAAACGTAACAGATTTATTTACCTCTACTTTCGAAAACATATACGCCAATAATAAAGATAAAAACAGAAATAACTTCAGCTTGCATTTATGAAACGCTGAGTTTTATAACTTTTTCAATGTTCCAATTGCCTATTAATTTGACTGTCATTTTTTAAAATTTATCCAATCAGTTTAATTTGAAGATTCCATCCACTCTTTCGTTATTAACTTGATCCGTTTAATTGCTTGAACTATATAAGCAACGATAATGTTTTTCCAGGAAAACAGTAGAATACAGAAAATGAATATTTGTAAACAAACCTTTGCTTCATCGTTTTTTTTCTTATTCTATTTATTCTATTTCTATTTCTATATCTCTGTTATTTTACACTAATTTGAATTCGAAACGTTTGGTTTGTCAAAAGATAAAACACCATAGTTTTCATAGTTTGTTCAACCTTAATTCAGATAGATAAAATAGCCTCTGTCACTAATTATATAAGATTGATTCGCGGTTAGTTACAAATGTCTTCTTGAAGCTACTGAATGCCACTTTAATTAAATAATTTGCCGATTAGCTTTTTCTTATGTATAAGCACATTAATCGTATAGACGTTTTACAGTAAATGCAAGAAATCAAACATTGTACATTATTGTTTATGAGTCTTGACATTTTTATTCTTCTATATAACTATGATATTTTGTATTTCTCTTTTGTTTTTGTTTTAAATATTAAATTTTTGAAAAAAAGGAGGCGATGTTGACGACGATGAAGGAGAAAAATTACCAACATGCATGGATTATGTGATGCATTTTTTGACCGTTTTCTGGAAAGTCCTCTTTGCATTTGTTCCACCAACAGGTAGACACTATATATTACATTTTGTAATTATAGTCAGAAAAATGAAATATTAATGCATGTTATTACACTTTGCAGTGGAATTATTCACTTAGTTAAAACGGAATCACATTATAATTTATAATTACCCTTAATGAGTATATTAATTATTAATGGAAGCACGTAATTAGTCTCTTATTGAATGTTTTATATAGCGCTAGCACACGGTATCTTTGATTGTTAAATTACAAAAAAAAATCCATGCGTAGATTATCCAACTCTTAATTACTGGTCTTTCCTTATTACAAATATATGGAATAATTTATTGTTCAACATTTAATAATGCAAAATAAATGAAAAATGACTAGTATGTGCTAGGAAGCGAGAAAAGAAGAAATACTGGGATTTTCACTTAATAATCTACCTCTGAGTGTAATCTAAGGTGAAATTAAATCCAACTTTTCTTATGAAAAACATTGTAACTGAAATCTTACCACTGCAAACACATCTTTAATTCAGGTTCTTAAAAATTAATAAAGCCTTAGTGTGTAATAAATTTATTTATATAAAACGCGCAAACGTAATGAAAACAGTTTACAAGTTGAACATGGTGTTTATTTATTCAATTAATAGATTAACAAGCTGAAATCAGGGTAATATCAGGCTAAACATGCAACAGATTCATACCGTTTTGCTTAATTATTTTTTAGCTTTTTGGAGTACTTTTAACTCGCTCAATGTTTGTTTGATACTATGTTGAGGCATTTGATATTTTTACATAGAATGTAAAACAATCTGGGTATTTTACACTTACCGTTTTCAGTGAATAAAATAATAAACCAGAAACATTTGTGAAAAATTTCACTCACATTTTTCCTTGTTCAGTTAAACCTTTGAATAACTCTACAAAAAATTAACTTATAAATGAACTATTAGTTGACGGTTTTTGTAGATAATTAAACGGTTGAAGATATACAAAAATCAATCCAGTGACTTGATTCCTCTACTATGAAATATGTTTATTTCGTTATTTTTAAAATACCTTTGCATATAAACAAAGTAGTTTTTATATTCAACCAGTTATTTTATAACTTATGAACCGGATTTACATACTAGTCTTAAAATATGTATGTTTTCAATCAGTTCACAGGTTAATTAATCAAACTCAATACCAACCCAGTTATTTGTGAAACACAAACCTTATAATTTAACTACGTATTTAAGAGATTTTCTGAAATAAAGTTAAATTTATACATCACCTATATTTGACTGACGATTAGTAGTATTTAATTCTATTATGTAATCAACATGAGTTCAATTGTACATTAGTTAGATTATGAAAGGATTGTTTATGTAGACTAAAATTATTAGCCTTTTGTCTCTTATAACTATAAAACCCAGTTTGTGGATAAAATTATGTTTTTATTCTTTTTTGTTTAATTAATTTATATTGAGAATATATAAAACTAGTCGAACATTTCATTGGTTTATATAAACTTGAATATTTTCTTACATAACTACTGTATCAAAACGTATGCAAATACAATAAATTACTTAAACATAATTGTGTAACATTTCAGATTATTAATATAAAAACTATGTAATCACCATTTATCTAATCAGACAATCTTTTTATTTTTCAAAATCTGTACACAACAAATGAATTAATTTTTATCATTGTAAAATATTTACGATCATAAACAGAAATGAATTCTTGGTTCAGATACATTTTATAACATTCCCATCTTAATGAATTATATATATATATATATTTCTAGTCAATGTTAATATTGCTTCGATAATCAACTTTCAACTGTAGTTCTTTACAGCTGAATGAATTGAATTCAAAATAAATATATGAGAGATAGGTTTAAGATTATCCCTTACCATTCATTGAATATCCAACATGTTTATGATGAAAATAATTTACACTTATCGATATTATTTAAAGAATCATAAAAAAAAGCTTGAATGTAATAAGCGTTTATTTTATGTGTCTAGATAATCTCTTCTGAAATCTGGTATTAAGTGGTGAATCAATTATGGACATAAATGTATCTAAGTTTTAGAACAATAAATATTCAAATGGTAATCATAGAGGGAATATTAAATCTCTCAAATCATTATGAAATATAAACTTTGAAGTTCTAGTGTTCGTTTTAGATTCAGTTGACGAGATCTATTATAAATTCATTCTTTAAGAAATGGTTTGATTACATGAATCATTCTTTTTAACTGTTATTCTAAAATGTTAAATAATGAAATTTAATAATAGACATTTAAAGAAAAACAAATACACCTTGGTAATATCATTCGTATTTCTAGTTATTTTCATCAAATAACATTCTGTCATTATGATTAAACCTCACTTCATAGTACATATTACAATTAAATTTCAATCAACTATTCTATTATCATTTCTTTATTACTTAAACAAAATATAATTAATTTTAAGCACAATTAGCTGACACAAATTTGATAGTCAGATAAGATCACTTACATTATTCATTGTCATTAATATGATTACTTTTCATTTGAGAACACTATCGATTAATCTTTAATAAAATCCATTTCTTTAATAATGAATACTAGTTTAAACTCAATTGATCACTATACTTAAGTTCACAAAGATAATATCAGATGAATAGTTGATTATATAAGACAAATAGAAGAACATTAAAAAGTAACTAAACAGCTTATAAATACTTGGTAGATATTTCGAAATAAAGAAGAGAATTTTGATCAAAATCTATAGTAATATATTTCTTGTATTGATGATATTTGATGTATTTTAATTACCGTAATTAAAAACGGATCATTTAACATGTGATACACAGATATCAATATAAAATAGCTTAAATTTCTTATCATTAAAATGAGGAATGTTCAATTGTCAATAAAATATTAACCTGAAGAATCTTTAAGGTAAATCTTAATGACAGTCAATACATAAACCGTTGAGATCGTGAGCTAATTGAAGTTAGACCACCATGGTAAACCTGAAAGCACTGGACGGCCGTTTTGTCGTATTGTGGAACTCCTCAGCGGTGCTCATCTACACCCCCGCCTCTCGGGATTCGAACACAGGACCTATCAGTTTCGCGTCGGGCGCTTAACCAACTAGAGCACTGAGCCGACATCCAACGATTTTAATGTCTACTTCAACTAATCCACAAAATTGAGTGGCAGATCCACCATTGTCATCAGTGATTTACTATCTTACAACTGACTCAGTTCAACTCCATTGGTCACTACCTCTTACTAGAACTCCTGGATATACCTCTTGAGGCTAGTCACTAGTGAGCATATGTTGATTAATATCAGAAGGGGGTTTTATGGAGATTTTAGTACCTTCAACAGTTGAGGGGTCGTGGATGCGCACTGCTGAGTAGTCCCACAATACGACGAAACGGCCGTCCAGTGCTTCCAGGTTTTCCATGATAGTCTAGATTCAATTAACTCATGATCTCAACATTGAAATTACTACAATCTCCACAAAACCCCCTCTGATACAGTCAGTATATGCAAAGATGGATAGTGCCTAGCAGTGAGAACTAGGACCCACGTTTCGTCCCATTTGGAGTTCGTCAGCTACATGTACTTGCATCTCATAGTTGATGTTCACTCTATGACTTGAACCCAGTACCATTCGCTTCAAACATCATCGGATTATCCATCTTTGTTTATAATGCTTATGAATTAAGGCTATATCAAGGCAATACGCACAATATGCACATATTTCAATAAGAGACTGATCAATTGCAGTCCTAAACATCAATGGAAAGATTCAAGTAAATAATATCAAGTGAATTTAATAAATAAAGAAGCTTTAATTTTTGTTATGATATCTTATTGTACAATGCAAATACAATTATTTGATCACTAATTTTTCAAAAGGAACTATATATGATTTGGCACGTATTTGTTTGTTAGAAATTTATGCGGGCTATCCAATATTCTAGTTAAATTAATTAATTAATTTATTTATTCAATTGTTTTTTTTATAATTAAATGACATTTTGGCGTCATTTAATTGATTTACATATAAATGTGTGTCTTTTTTATAAAATTAACATTACCAATACACTAATGTATACCAGCATTATCGAGTACTATATAGAATATAGAATAAAAAAATAATATGAACAATAATTGACACAATGAAAGTAAATCATAGGGAAAATGAGTTGAACTTCTTTTAATTGGTCGAACATAAAATTATGACTTAATGAAATCATTTTATAAAGATTTAGCTAACAATTATATGTATTTCATAATGGTATTGTATTCTTTTCATGAATCTTTTATTAATAAATAGAGATAGTCATACTTTATTCAACGGATAAGGTTGATGGGTTGGCAAATTCACTTCAGTGACACGTAAAAAACAGTTGATGATGTATTCAATCAAATTCATGAATATCAAATGCTTATTAAGTAAATTATGGAATTTTATAGATCTCCGTTACATAATTTCCGGAATTTGAAAGCTTTTTTCAAACCATCTAAATTCGTTTGAGCATCCAACGTAATTAGCTTATCTCAATATAATTATCAATCCAAACTAATTTAATACTGCGAGTAAAATTTGTACATATTAACGTTGAGAGTTTTTAAAATGTTAATATCTTATTTTGTCATCATTTTCAAACGGTCTTGTGTCCTTTGTTTCATTCTTCAAATTATTCAGCTTTATCTGAAGTGCTAGTTTATATCTTATAACTTTTTTGAAATTATTGTATAACGACAAAGATATATTTGTTCTCATTTATAGACAGTCATCCCTAGCGATCCTTAAAGCATTCATGCTATGAAATATTTACTAAATACTATATTCTATAAGCACATTATGATGTTTATTCAAGAAATGCCAGACAATTCATGATAGTTTTTGTCTCGTCTATCCTGTGAACAAGAGTTGTTTGATGACAATTATTGGTTTTACTAAAAAATAGTCATCAAAGCTCCAAAACGTTGCTGCAGAAACTATTTTATTTCTATTAGGCCATATGGCTCTAATGTAAATGATTATATATATAAAATACGTTTTCTATGCACATTAAGTGTTGTTTAGTTATACAATAACAATAATTTGTTTCTTTGCTAATTTTATTATTAGACTATGGCGGAGGTTGGTTTTGTTTCACTGTATGTATACTGGTTATTGGTGTTTTGACCGCAGTTATAGGAGATGTGGCGTCGTCATTCGGTTGTTCAATAGGATTGACTGATGCTGTTACTGCAATAACGTTTGTAGCACTTGGCACCAGTTTACCAGGTAATGTTATAGTACAGTTAGATTAATTCAGTACAGAACGTTGTATAATGTCTAATAATGTTTTTTTTCTTTATCCTAGATAAAACGTTTGCAGTTTCTAAATGATTTTTACCTTTTTGATTAAATGTCAAACAAGTATTTTAAATTCTATAAAGAATAAACAGTCTGTGAAGATCTGCAAAATAATTGGCACTCAGACGTATTGTCCTGATGAGTGCGTTGTTAAGCATTGTTTCACTATAACAATTACATGCAGTGGGAAGAATCTCTAATTTCATTGAATAACAAGAGTAGAGGCGTATTCCATTTAAAGTTTATACACATATGTTGGTATATTATAGGGTAAAAACGAAGCCAATTAACCATCCTAAACAGATTAGGGAAATAAAAAGTCATTTACAGAATGATCATTTTGCAATTATGAGTACCGCCTCAATAATCGGTTTACTCCTGTCAAAATCTTTCAGTTAAACTACCATCAGAAAAGTTAATTTTAAACACTTATTTTTTTTATAAAGATTTAAAGAAATAAATTATTGAATAACGATATAACAACTATGAGCGACAGTTTATGCAACAGTAATGGGAAATCATTAGGCCACTTATTGTGATTATGGGTATTTTATGATCACTGGCATGTAAAAAGTCTCTTTTCACTAAAATGTTACATATACTGCAACAAGCTGAGGTTGTTGCTTAAAGCATTATAACCAAATTTAAACAATTATTCAGAGTTTACTTAGAAATATATTCTTTTAATTACAACTGCAAGACCTTATTCCAAGGAAAACGTTGCGAATGATTTTATTTTTGAAAAAATGTTTCTTCACGTTTCCATCTTATTTATATCTCCTTCTGTTCACTAATGGTTGTGATTTGAAATGGAGTTACTTTCTTTTTCTGGTACAATATCATTAGTTTTCATGTATATTTTTCTACTACAACGAAGTCTGACGAACGTTTGAAGTGAACTGTACTTTGACCTATTATGATCTTTAGTTGAAAATTGATAAGAATGTCATAAACCTTTTTTGTTAAAGTAAACATCACAGTTTGATTTATCCATTTGTTAAATGCTTATACGTACTGGTTTGATTCAAGATGGTGCCACTGGCAAATGTTGAAGATCTGTTGAATGGGACTAATCAGCGTTCAAAGTAAATATTTCTGTCTGTTCAGTAGAAAGGTGATAAAATGAATAAACGAATATATGATACAATCTTAAACTGAAATAATTTTCCTATTTATACATTTCCCACAGGCCAACCCATACAATGTGACATATAACAAGGCTGTCTATGACTAATTCAATTTCACCATATAGTCAACTCTATGAATGCATAACGTTACTCAATGTTCGTCAACCATCTAAAGTAAATTTTTGACCAAAGGAAAAACTATTTAGCTACTGGTTACCCACATTACAGTAATATGTTACAATCGTTGTTACATAGTGCTTATATTTTTGTTAAAATTTATTTAACAGTTTAGTAATCTAATCTATTTCATTTTCTACACATTTAAATGTTTTTAGATACATTTGCAAGTAAAGTTGCTGCTATCGGTGATCAATACGCTGATTCATCTATAGGCAATGTAACTGGTAGCAATGCTGTAAATGTATTCTTAGGTATTGGTTTAGGCTGGAGTATAGCAGCTATATATCATGCAATTAAAGGAACACAATTTTTAGTTCAACCAGGATCATTAGGTTTCTCCGTTACTACATTTTGTATATTTGCTGTGATAGCAATTATTTTGATTATGTTTAGACGTAAAAAATCTATTGGTGGTGAATTGGGTGGTCCAAAAGTTGCAAAATATACTTCAGCTCTATTTTTATTTTTCTTATGGTTTGTTTATATTCTCTTAGCTGGTTTAGAAAATTATTGTATTATTGAAGGTTTTTAATTATTAAAAGAAGAAAGAGAAAAAACACAAATAGATAAACGAAGAAATCAGAAAAGAAATAGGAAAATTGTTTACAATAACAACATTACACAAAGTATATACTTTCATACAATATAAAGTAAAACAAAACTATACAAATATAGAATCATCAATGTAACATTTATCTAATTATAAATAATAAAAAAAATGAGAGAAAACAACATTTATTATTCCATTAACAACATTACTGACTTATACAAGATTCATATAAGTGATTTATTAAAATTACTAAATACATATGCATATAAACACAATTCTTTAAATGTATTACAGAAGTCAATGTTGTTGTTGTTGTGATTTATTTCTTTGTTAAATTGTTCAATAGAAAGTTATTAACGGTGACATTAATCATGACAATATTGACACATATTGATATCTTATTGTTTTATTATTAATAATCATACTTCATTAAATAGTTTTAGGTATATAAATAGTTGTACTTCGTTATTTTCCCCTTGCCTGTATCTCTTTCTTTCTTGTAATCATGCAGCCATTTTCATTTACAACCTAAAAACAAAATAGATTTACTAACTGAATAGACCGTTAAACTTGTTTTCTCTTTATTTTATGATTTATAAGTTTATTCTCATCAATTAAATTGTCTTTTTTTTGACACTAATTAGAGAAAAGTAAATCCTAGTGATATGTTTTAGTACTCATATATTTATTGTTTATGATATAAGAGTAAATGAGTGTAATCTGTATATTGATCTGTGCTTGTACACTAATTATTGATAACAGAGTCTTAATGTATTTTATTTTCATAGATATTACTTTGCACCTTTTTTTTATTGTGCACAACCCAACATCTTTACTACATATACCAATACATTATGATATTTATATATATATAAACTGAAATAAACGATCATAAATTAGATTTTATAGTTTTCCTAAATACTTTTCTTGATCAGTAATTATAAGGTAATACAATGAGAAACATATATCCACATCTATAATCATTCTCATTGTTATTTATTCTCATTCGTATGTACATTTTCAAAATAATGATGGATATTGTTACTACTTGTATATTGATTTCTTTATCCGTTCTTTTATACATTCGTTCATTCATTCATATATGAATTTATCTATTACTTCAATTTACATTGTGACTTGAATTCACCAATACTAGGCATCAACATTTTTAATCGTTTCTAATTGCAAGGAGATAAAATATTATCCACGTTGCATAAACTCATCATAATAAGTGGAAACATGACCTTGTTGAAGAACAGTATTTGTGTAAAGCAATTAAATTAAGTTGAAGGAAAACACTTGTTTATTCTTTTTTTGAAAGTAAATAAGCCTATATATAGATAGATATACTGGTCAAAACAAATCAGCACTAAAACCGTATCGCTTCTTTCGATTTTCACAATAAAATAAACAAACAAATATTCCTATTTCGACTTTATAATTATTCTAAGGATTTATTCCGAAAAATTATGCTCATGTTGTTGAGAGCAATATTAATGTTAACTATTCGCATACAAGTTCATTGGTGTTTTAAGAGCATAGTCATATGAATTTCTTACTTTCCAACATCTCATTCATGTGAATTTAACTGAGTATTTCTTTTACAAATAGAATTAAGCATCATAAATTCTGTACATAACATATTTGTACATACATTTAGTCTGATTTAAATATATTTCTCTGCATGCAGTGCCATTTCCTTGCCTTCTTTTCAACTAACTTTTAAAATATCAATCGTTTTATTTTTCTTTTGGATTCATGTACTTACCATTTTGAATCCATCATCTCAATAAGATAAACCATTTAATTTTTTCTTTGAATTTCTACACTTTAAACATACACCTTCTGATATTTGGTTTTTTTCTTTCTTCCTTTCTTTGAAATTCTTTCATTATATTTCTTGGAAGACCAAATGATCAATAAATATTTCAGGATGAAATGATTTAACATTTAAACGTGTTGTTACACCTTTTAAATTACACATATATGAGTTTATTAATAAAATTTATGAATGCAAACAGAAATCAAAATCAGCGGCATATAAATCTGAATTATTCATTTTCACATTTTGTATTTTTACTCCATATCCCAATGTAATTTTGGTGTAATTTTATAGTGTTAGTTATATTTTTACCTACCACATTTAATATTAATTGTCATAAACTTATTAATTACCTATATGTATATTTACATATATGGATATTTACTGTTTAACAACTTTACACCATATTTGAAATATAAGAAAGTATTGTATTTACATTTTTGTTTCTGCCGTCCATGTACGCGTATATTACTGTAGATTATTTACATTATTTCTAAAATAAATAAGTTCTCTCTCTCTCTCTCTCTCTCTCTATATATATATATATATATATATATATATATATATATTACTTAGTTTTGAAAATTTTATCAAGTATTATCATTGATAATGTTCGTCAAACTACTTACAAATTTATGAATAAATCTAATACATATAAAAAATTACACTTATTGAACGGTTTCTAAGCATATTACCAATAGAACTTTGATACTGTTCATTAAACCGACGCTGACTGTTCAATGAAGAACATTTTTTTGCATCATATATATATATATATATAGAATAAAGTCAACGAAAATCGGTTTTATTTTAATTATTTATCATAAAGTGAATAACCTATTAAAATGTGTTTCTCAGTAGTTTAACAACCGTTTCTGTTCATTGTAATCAACTTAATTAATTAGACCTTGTCACTGAAAATTAAAATAAGTAGTTTGTGGAAGTTTGTAGTTTTTATGACAAATTGACATCTTATACACTTACACACAACCTTGCAAAATGGCTTACAAAAGTATTAAACCCTATCCGAAATCAATATTGTAAGTATTCCTTCACTGACTCATTTGAATTAATTAAATACTTAAAGAACATAAATATAAAGACAAAGACGATGTGCTCCATTGATATGAACACTTTAATTACAAATATACCTCTCAGGAAAACTATTGATATTTTGTGTGATTATATCTCTTTGAATAACCTTCCACTGCAATTTCCTGTCAACACTCTTAAAGATTTATTATTGTTGTGTACAGATAATGTAAAATTCGCTTTTGAAGGTGAGCACTTCCGACAAATAGATGGTGTAGCTATGGGTAACCCTTTAGAACCATTTCTGGCTGATGTGTTCATGGGATATGTTGAAAATTTAGTTGAAGACCCAATTCGAAAGATGGCTCTGCATAAGCGATATGTCGATGATATAACAGAGGATAAAGATGAAGACATAAACAGCTTGTTAAAAGAATTCAATAGAAGTCAAAAGCACATTTCTCTTACATGTGAAGAAGAGAAGAACAACCAACTTTCTTTTCTAGTCATCCTGATTAGTAGGAGAGATGATGGCTCCACCAGACGTTCTATATATAGAAAGCCAACATGGACAGGGCAATATCCTAATTTTCATAGTCACTGCCCTATTCATTACAAACGTGGTTTAATAAAGAGCTTATTCAATAGAATCAATCGTATTTGTACTAGTGATACTAATGAAGTAGAGACGAAGTTCTCGACTGATACGTTAATGAATAATGGTTTTTCTTTGAAGTTCATAAACCGCTGGAAGGGTTACAATAATGACTAGACCTATGACGCGAGTTTACATTACGTTACCATTTAGAGGCCACACAAATGATCTCATGTTGAAACGGAGACTTCAATTAGCTACCAACCGGACATTTTATGCAGCCCAGCTTGTCATTATTGAAAAGACAAGGTCTATGTTTCACCAAAAGCCCAAACAGCACAAAAGCGATTGTGTCACATCTCATTGTGTCTATCAACTTACATGTATGTGCGGAAACACGTATATAGGGAGGAGTAATCGTGATTTGCAATTAAGGGTGGGTGGAAACATACCAAAATGGTTGCAGAAACAAATGGATTCCAATAGTCAAATTAGATCACAGGGTAGACAGACATCATCCTCCATTGCGAAACATTTCATTGAGACTGGTCATAAGGTTGACATCAAGTCAGCATTTGTAGTGTTATACAAAAGCGTTCAACGACGTATACTAAGGTTTATTGAAGCCTTGGCTATACGAAAATTGAAACCCCCTTTATGTGTTTAAAAACAATTTGGCTTTACACTTCACCTACCCTGGAATTACTGGTTTATTATCCAGAGTGGTAATCACATTTGTTTTGGTGTACTTTATTACAATTTTTTTCTTAGTTATGGCTTACCTTTAACCTGTCTAGTTAACCTTTTAATTTTTATATTAAAATGTTCTAAGCAATTAATTGTGTGATCAGATAGTTCGAAATGTATTGCGCAAATATATCACATAATTCTGATAAACTTTGTCTTCTCATTGCATTATCGAAATCTTAGGCAATTATTAAAAAGAAATCGAAATGTACTGTTTCGTTACTTCTTCGTAGTTCAAACTAACTCAAAAATAGTATTAATTACTGACAAGAATATACAGTCATTTTAGACATTTACTCGTTCATTCAGTGATAAATGAATTGCTAGTATGAATGAACTATTCGCTGAAGCATAAAATAATACTAAAGTTGATTACTAAGCTTTTGTCCACTATGAATCGAAACGTTGAAATTTATTAGAAAGTAAAAATTAGGGTAGGATAGATAAAATTGCACGAAATAAAACTATTTCTGACTGGACAACATTGCACATCCAACGGTATACAATCAGAAAATTGAATACAACCGCCATCGTGACATGGTACTCGGGTTTGTTAGTTGTAGTGACCCGGTCGATCTATATTGGCTGGGACACTTGTTACTTTAGATCCTACCATATGGAGCAGGTCGATGGGATAATAGTATGACTAAAGCTAACAACTTTAGTTCCCAGGTAGATGTTCGACTGGTGGCTGTATGATCGCAGTCATATGTTTCCCTCCGACAACCAACATTTTCCGTCTTTTCGCAACGCAAGGAACAGCTTAGAAAGTTTCTTTGAAAGTATCGAGATAATAAACCTATAACCTTGAGGAATCAGGTCGTACTGCAATCTGTCCCAAATAATCGTTTATATTCACTGACCACACTCTAACAGCACTCGAATATCTCTCATTCACTATCACATCAACCGTTCCCAACTATTCACCCTTCTCTGAATTTATTACTACCCATCACCAATGCTAACCATTTGAGTTCAGGAAATTTTATACCTGATCTTCTGGAACTGTGCCCTAGACAATATGTTGTAGCTTTCAAATTTCAAACATGATGTCGAATAGGATAATAGGTTCATTAACTATCACTCTAAGATTTTAAGGTTTCAATAAACATTGTGTCTTCAAAACATGTAACCAGTATCGACGTTTGGTCATTCAGTTGACCTCCTTCAATATAGAGAATAAGCATTATCTGCCTCGCTGGTGTTAATATAATATTAGACTTGGTAGTGGAACAGGCATTTATGAACAGGACTTTGGTACACAGTCGCTCGTTCACTGTCCGAATAAACTGGGCAGTAAAAACAGAGAGATAAAAATATACCCCGTTGCTTTTTGTTCCCTAAATACCCTCTCACTGACTGAAATTCAAATGAATCAATAATTGAGGTTAATGGAGAATCTCGAATCTTCAAAATGTCAAAATACTAGACATTTTGATAAGGAATGAAATTATTGCACCGATATACTATGTTTTCGCCACTGACCCCGATGAATCCTGGAGAAGCAAGTTTATTCTGTGTATTTATATATTTGCTGAAGATTGTTGTTGGAAGTTAGGGGCAGGAAACGTGGTAGCGAGGGCGAATCGGTTGATGATGTAGTAAATCTCCATCGACTAAAGTAGTCGAGGTGTCTGGTACGAATTACCAAGCATTGTCTACCTCGACGTGTGATGTTGAATGATATAGAATTAGGCTGTGACAAAGCTAAGATTAGTCAGTCCAAAACTTCGTATCAATCGTTAAGTCATCAACAGTGAGACTGAATCATGTTTGTGGGTGCAAGATACCTGGTCGATGTCGATTAGATTATCGTGTCCAATCGTTACAGATGTGATATAACATGGCTCAGAATCACTTTCATTTGTGCAGATGCATCCATTCTCTGTCTTCTCTCAGATTTTGAGTCTCTCAATTGACTACATTTTTTGTTTCAGTAACCTATATTTTCTCCTCAAATCATATATTGTATGTCTAATATTTTGTTACTACTTCTGATAATGTTAGTATTTGTACTACTATTGTGTTTGTCATAACAGTTTCATCTCCATGATGATGTGGTGCGTCAATTTCAGTCGATGTATATATGTTCCAGATTCTATGGTGTATATAACTAACTGGTTATTCGTTCTTACGGCTTTTTGAATTGATTCTAAAGGAAACTAATTTAATTCATTCTTAGTCTTATTACTAATACAATGCTAGCTTCGAGAAACATGTAAAGTTATATTCCATCACGAAATTCATTTGTGAAATGGTCGTGTTATAATGTATATTTTCTTCAAATTTACAAAATCAGATACACAAGTAAACGAATATGTGAGAATTAATTTGATATTTATGAATACAGAAAAAGGAAATAAAAAACATTTACAACATTCACTTGGTGTTGTTTTACTTGTATCTTCCCATTGTTATTTAGGACTGCAATTGATCAGTCTCATGTTGGCATATGTGCTTCCTGTGGGGATTACCTCGATATAACCTTAATTCACAAGCATTTTAAGGAAAGGTGGATAGTGGCCATTAGTGGAATTTAGAACGCGCGTTTCTTCCTGGATTCCACTGCTAGCCATTATCCATCTTTTCTTACAAAACAATTTGTAACAGTTTGAAATCTATGCACAAATAATTAGATTAAGAACATTTCAAAAATTTGCATAATGATGGAAGTATAACACGTTTTATTATTATTATTATTTATCACAATTAAGATTTACGCGGACAAAGAGCAAGATCTTTAATGTGAAATGTCTATTTGTTTAACTTTCTTAAGCAAAGTAATAAATCTAAAATCTGCTAGATTACAGAAACCATAGATTGTAATAAATAAGTCTGTCCTGTCATAAGTAGAATATTACTTGAAAAAATAAGTGAAATATCTTGTCTTTACTTTATACAATCTGCTTTAGTATCAGAAGGGGTTTTGTGGAGATTGTAGTAATTTCAACAGTTGAGATCCTCAGCACTGCTGAGGAGTCTCACAATAGGACGAAATGGCCGTCCAGTACTTCCAGGTTTTCCATGGTGGTCTAGCTCCAATTGACTCATGATCTCAACTGTTGAAATTACAATCTGCTTTATTTTACCTTCTAAACAGCTTATTAAAACTATGGTCATACATGGGTAATACATATTCTAATAGC